CAAACAAGGGGGTCCCTGAAAACCCTGCTCAAGGCTGGCCCCATGAGGGCCTAGCAGCCCAAGGAACTATACGCAATCGTCAGGAGCATTGTGTTCCCCATGGTTTATTCCCTGTGATGGGTCGTATTCTTAGAACCTCATTTCATTGGGTTCTCTAAATAGTCCTGTCAGGAGGGCAAGCCAGGGCTCTGTTGGACTTTTACAACATAGGGAGGGAACAGAATGGACGTAGGTCAGCCACTTTGGGCCAGGAACTGTGCTTGTCAACACCTCCACTGGGCCGGGACCCTGTCAGACCCTTGGTGTGTGGGTCCTGTTGCCTCCAGTCCTTGGGACGGGGCTGAGGTCACTGCAGTTGTGCAGAGGAGCAAGGGCTGTCGTCAGCATCTCCTGCTCCTTCCCCTCCGTGCTAGCAGGCTGCCAGCCTCACCTTGCACATGGCAGGCTGGGATCTTTGGCCTGCGGGTCCTGGCTGAGCTCCCATTCAGGAGGCCAGGCCTAGCACATCCTCACCATCGCAGACAGCCTCACACTTAACAGAGCCCAAGAAGCCGTGCACTCCTTGTTTCTCCCCGGGGCCAGGCGAGGGGGCAGGCTGCGCTTGCCCTTCCGTGGCAGGTTCTTTTTCAGGGCTTGTGAAAACATTAATTGACACCAGCCCCGAAGCCTCTGCTGGCAGGTGGGATCCAAGTGCTCACCCTGGCTCAGCAACGCGGCTGCCGGGATATGCCAGAGAGGAGGGGTGCCCGCTGCTGCCGCAGCCCAGCCCTGCCCCGCCATCAACTCATGGCGACCTCACGGGTGTCAGACTAGAACTGCACCCCACAGGGTTTGCAACGACTGATTTTCTGGAACTAGGTCCTCAGGCCTTTCTCCAGAGGCACTCCTGGGTGGGCTCAAACCTGCAACATTTTGGTTAGCAGCCGAGCACGTTAACCATTTGAATCACCACGAGCATCAGCTTAGAACCTTAACATCTCTCATATGGAGCAAGGACTTGGGAGGGAAGCTCAGCTCCCATCCGGAATCTTAACTGATGAGAGCAGTTCAAGAGCATGGGATTAGTGACCTCGTCCCTGCACTTGGCATTGGGCTTACAGGGCCAACAAAACCATCTTGGGGACTACTCATTACATAGAAAAAAAGGGTAAGTGAGACCATGTCACACCTCAGCTCCAACTCTGCAGAGGGTCCCCATGTCACCCAGAAGAAAGCCCAGTGTAGACAGTGGCTTTGATAGCCCCATGCTTCC